TTCCTGCAACATGAAGCATGTTCATGAACATTAACATAAGTGCACTTATCGTTCTAGTTTTGGTAGGCAAGTAGTCAGTATTTTTCCTTTCCTTGTCCCCTGTAAGCATGGAGACAATTCATGACATAATGCCACATTAATGTAGTTAGAGTTAAAAAACTTAAAACACTAACTTTAAATACAAAACTTATGTTCCTATAGCAACTGCAGTTAAGCCACCTTATTATGTTTAAGTACAGCTCTACCCTGAATAGCGAATGGAAGTGGCACTGGGAATTCCATATTCATTTAATCTCAATGCTTTATACACTACATATACACTTCTCAGTTGAAGGATTTCTTTCTAGTTGCCAGCTCCACAAAATTTGTATATTCCAAATGCCAAGCTATACTCCTTTTGTCATGTCACCACCAATGCTCCTCCTTTCACCCCATTTAAATGCTTCTAAAACCATACACTGATCAAACAAAACTCTGACTTTCATCCATAGATGCTTCTCAAGTAAATCCCAGGATGTCATCCTCCTGCTGTACTTGGCCTTGGTGAAGGCCGCAGCTGGAGTACTGCATCCAATTCTGGACTCCACAATTCAAGAAGGATGGCGAGAAGCTTGAGAGAGTCCAGAGGAGAGCCACACACATGATCAGAGGGCTAGAGAATAGGCCTTATGATGAGAGGCTGAGAGCCATGGGACTCTTCAGCTTGGAAAAGCGCAGGCTCGGGGGGGATCTGGTGGCTGCCTATAAGTACGTAAGGGGTGTGCATAAGGATCTGGGGGAACTCCTTTTCACCAGAGCGCCCCAAGGGACAACAAGGACCAACAGACAAACTCCTCTGTGACCGTTTTAGGCTGGACATAAGGAAAAACTTCTTTACTGTCTGAGCCCACAAGGCCCGGACTCCCTCCAGATGTGGTACAGACACCTACTCTGGACTCATTCAAGAAATGTTTGAATGTTTATCTTGCTGGGATCTTTTAACCCTAGCTGACTTCCTGCCCCTGGGGCAGGAGGCTGGCCTAGATGATCTTCAAGGTCCCTTCCGGCCCTAATGTCTATGAATCTATGAATCATTTTGCTATGAAAACTGAGAAGGTAAAGACAACTATGAAAGGGAAGAAGAGGCAACCGTCAAATGGCTTTGCCTTAGGCCCCAACCCAAGTATCTGAGCCACACCAGAACTTCACTTATTTGCTTCAAAGGGACTCCATGCAGGTAGAGGAAGCGGATTCAGTTGTGGAACTAGGGTTTTTAGCAAGTATCTATATTTTTCCCTCTAGGTCAGAGGTTCCCAGCCCCCAGGCTGTGAAGGGTTGGCTGCCAGTCCATAGGAGGGTTGGCTGCCAGACTGGAAGTCCGCAAGTGACGAGCATACGGTGGACCAGCAGCCAACCCTTTTTTTATACAAGCAGTGGCTGCTGGTCCACAGTACGCTGGTCACTTCTGGTCTGCAGTATGCTGGTCTGCAGTCACTTCCAGTCCACAGCCTAAAAAGGTTGGGAACCAGTGCTCTAGATTATTTATTTCCTCTGTTTTTAACTGCAGCCCTCACATTTTGGGACGTCATATGAAGTCCTAGGTGGAGGGATAGTGCCTGCTTGTTTTATAAAAAAGGTTTGGGTGAATCGGACCTTTCAAGAAGGCTGTATAGTTGTAACACAATTGGCCTCAAGCAAGTAATATTATAAAAAAGGTACTTAAGAAATAGATTCTAACTCACAGCCCCCCTGGCTTGTTTACTGAGAGGTAGTGACAAGTAATAACTTATTTTTGGCACTGAAGCCAGACCACACTCTGGTCACTTTTCAGGGTAGAATGAAACGAAGGACATAAAGCGTAACATTAGATACAGTCATATAAGAATAAATTATAGCTTATGGGGGATGTATTCAAGTAGGTCTTAAGATCAGAAGCCATTGACTTCAGAACTAAAAACCAAACGGGGCAAATATAAGTTATGTGGAGAGGATCCCAGCAGTGAAGTCATCTATCTTTCATTATTGATTCTAGCCAAATGTTTTATATATGTCCCCTACTACTGCTGGAAGCAAAAAGAAAAAGGGTGAAATTAACTCCCACTCCAAAGCTGTCTGACTGTTAGAAAACAACTAAGCCTGTCCCTCTGACTCCATTTCTGGTACCTTCCTCTTTCCTGCAACCAGATCCACACGTTGCCTTTTCTGCTCCTCGGGGCTTTCTGCAAGTGGCAGAGTGAGATCAACGTCACACTGCCCGTTTTAACACCTGCCCGCGGTAAAGGAGCCCCAAACGTGACTGGCCTGTTCCCCCCTGACTGGCCCGTTCCCCTCCGAACCGCTACAGATACCGGCGCAGCAGCAGAGCCAGGCACATCCGTGAAGAATCAGGAAGGCAACCATTCACCTGAGCCTCTGGCTTGTGGCACGTGAGGGCACCAGGCCTGGACGGGGGCTACCGCAGGCACCCAAGTGCCGATGTGGGAGGAGGGAGTGCTTGCGGCCCTGCCCGCGCCAGGCTGGCGCTTACCCGCTGTCAGGAAGCCGTCTGCGTCCAGGTCGATCTTCCTCAGGATGCCCCTCAGCCTCTTCTGCTGCTCCTCCGGGCTGAGCTTAGCGTAGTCCTCGGCTTCCTCCTGTGGACGGGCCGGAGGGGCAAGGTCAAGGCCCGGGCACTAGCCCTGTGATGCTGCGGCTCTTCGCACAGGCCCAACTGGACCCGGCCCGGCCGGGGCCTCTCGCAGCGGCCCCCGGGGAAGACGGGCCGGAGGCCCCACTGCGCCGGGGCGGCCCCCCACCCGCGGCAGTCCCGCCCCGTGGCAGGGGC